ATTCCGCCCACGCAACTAAGGATACATTCGAGTTCGTGGATGATGTACAGGAATTTGGCCAGCAGCAGGCAGAGAACTCTGGATCGCTGTTCCTGTGCTCTTTCGATGTAGTCAGCCTCTTTACAAACGTGCCTCTCAAGGAAACAATAGATATCTGCATACAGTCGCTATACCATGATGATGAAATATCAGCCCCGCAAATACCCCAAGATCTTTTCAAGAAGCTGCTTTTCAAAGCCACATCAGACGTGCAGTTCAGTTTCAATGGCAATATGTACGCACAGAGGGACGGAGTAGCCATGGGTTCACCCTTGGGCCCCGTGCTAGCCAATATCTTTGTTGGATATTTTGAGAACACAATTCCAGACAGTCATTGGCCCCAATTCTATAGGCGTTATGTGGATGACACATTCGCAGCATTTCACAACCGGAAACTGGCATTGGAATTCTCTGAGCGTTTAAATCATCTTCACCCAGCTCTCCAGTTTACAATGGAGGAGGAGAATAATGGAGAATTGCCGTTTCTTGATGTATTGATTAAGCATTCTTCCACAGAATTGCTCACCACAGTATATAGAAAGCCGACGTTCACAGGTCTTTACACCCGCTGGGACTCGTTTTGTGACACTAGAAACAAAATCAATTTGATCAGATCATTAACTTTCAGAGCTAAAACCATCTGCTCACCATCACTATTATCAGCTGAAATTGCTAAGCTAGAGGATACAGTAAATATCGGATATAACGTGCCCCTTTGATTTTCGAAAATGTATCACTATATCCGGTGCATCACTATAGCCGATTTGCATGTTTGACCGACACATGGCACATGACTGCACATGAAATGATGCGTACACGCTGGAAAAAGCATGCTGAAAGTGCATGCATGCTCCGCGGTCTGTGTACCGGTGCATGACACAGAGCATAGCAGTGCATGGCAGTGCAGTACGAGTACAGACTGTACATGTACTAGAACTTTGATACATCATGTGGCATGGCTGCTTCTTCAGCGTGTTCTCCAAAAAAAGCCTGAGCTGGATCCGTGCTCACGTAGATCGTAGATCTACTCGGTGTCCAACGAGTTGCGTAGAGCCAGAAATAGACATGAGTGGCTGTGTACGTGAGTTGGCAACATCATCGTGAGAGGCAACACAGCCAGAAACGGACAAGAGCATGCAGAAAGATCACTCTTGATCATTATATGCGATATTTTCCTGTACATTTGATATGGTTTGCTTCCTGAAGCCTGTGAAGGCCATCACAATAAGCGATATATCGGTATAGCCGATAATAGTGTATATAGTGATATTTTAGCTGTATTTTTTCAGATTTGATTTTGATTTTGACGTGTTCTATCACTATAACCGGTATATCATTATATCCGGTCACTTTATAAACGATACTTACTGTATTCTGTGTTCTAACGGTTACCCACTCAAAGTACTCAAGCGAGTCATGACAAGCGTTCTTGAACCTAGCCCAGATACAGCTTCTGCACAACTTGAACCTGCAACGCGTATTATCACAAAATTGCCGTGGAAAGGGCAAAATTGCATTGCCTTCCGCAAAAAGATTAAAGCTGCAATTTTGAACTGCTATCCTACAGTATCCCCTATTGTAATTTATACAACCAGGCCCGCATTCAGGTCTATCGCGAAGGATGTTTCACCAACTCTTGAAAATAGTAATTTTGTTTATAAGTATGCGTGTCGCTGTGAGCGAACGTACGTTGGTGAGACATGTCAGCGATTCTCGGAAAGGATCAAGCAGCATATCCCAGACAAGCTGTACAAGAAGCCGCCTGACAAACGTGTGGCAACAAGTGATAGCGCCATCACAAAGCATTTGCAGGCGCAACCTGAATGCATCCCGCAAGAACGCAACAGCAGCTTCAGTGTCATCACACCAGCCCGGAACAGCGCGCACAGATTCACACTGGAGGCGCTGTACATTCGCAGTTTGAGGCCAGAGCTGTGTCGACAAAAGAAGCACATCAAGGTGCTGCGGCTGTTCAAGCTGCAACCGGACTGACAACTTTATCACGTGTTTGTTCTGGTACTGCATTCCCCTCATGTGTTGTTTCCCGCATTTTTCCACTGCTCCATACATTCTTATGGTAGTGTAGTGTGAACTTGAGGCGCGTAAGAATATTCTTGCTGATTCTCTACCCCCAGTATAAATTCTGGCTTCGTTTTCGTTCTTGCTCATTCCCATGTATCTACTGATGAAAATGGGTGAAAAGCTTTTAGTGTTATGAAACTGACAACCTTGTTGTTGTGTGTATACAAATTTTGTTCGCCTACGTCTCTATTTAAATATATATATATATCGTAATGGCCTTACACCCCTGACGCCAGACATGCGCTAGTTAACTCCAGATTTACATGCTCCATTCAGCGCTTGTTACAGTAATGGACAATTGATATCAATATTTTACACTGCCTGCACCTAGCGGTAACTCTTCGCTCTTCACACTTCACGCTTTCTTTTTGTGCGCCTTGCTGTGTGGTTGTGTATTTCTTTAGTGGACCTGACAGCCCTGTTTTAGTTAGAAAAGTTGCCTGACGATTGAAAAACTCAAGAAACTCGGAGTAGCAACGGATTGTGTTTTCTTGGTGAGGACCCCTTCCATTGTATATATATATATATATAGAGAGAGACGTAGGCGAACAAAATTTGTATACACACAACAACAAGGTTGTCAGTTTCATAACACTAAAAGCTTTTCACCCATTTTCATCAGTAGATACATGGGAATGAGCAAGAACGAAAACGAAGCCAGAATTTATACTGGGGGTAGAGAATCAGAATTGAATTGTCGACACATTTCTGGCCTCAAACTGCGAATGTATAGCGCCTCAAGTGTGAATCGGTGCGCGCTGTTCCGGGTGCGCTGCTCCATTGAGTATACATGGTGTACCCAGCATGACCCAGACTCTCTGTTTGCCCTCAGTGGATACACACTACATCGTGCAGACCGCCCAGACCGCCAAGGCGGAGGAGTGATTCTCTACATGAACGACACTATACCTCATGAACTCGTCCCTACAACAACCCCAGACAGCTTTGACCTATTATCACTGAAACTGTCAGCCAACGACCGCACCATCAACGCAACATGCGTCTACCGACCACCCCGTTGCGACCATCGTCTATTCTGCCAGCACCTTGAGGAACTGATCCGAGCCATAACAACAACAACGCAAAAGATTATCCTCGGTGATTTCAATGCAAAGAATGCCGCTTGGTGCCACTCTGACACGACAGATGCTGTTGGCGAGGATGTAGCAGTGCTGTTCCAAACTTACTCTCTACACCAACATGTCACATTCCAAACTCTTGTGCAGAATGGGCACCCTAAATCCTGCCTAGATCTCGTCGTCACGGATGTAGACAGCGACTATGTCCTTATCTCTAGTCTCCCGCAGATCGGCAACTCGGACCACCTATCCATCAGGGGTTTAAACAAGCCAGTCGCTGCACCCCCTCGAGCCGTACCACCTCCCACCCATAACACCACCCATTGGAAATGGTCAAACCAAAGCATCAGCAGTCTGAAAGCCGAAATTGAACGCACACAACTGCTACCGGAAGGTGACACCCTGAACACTACCAACATAGACAACCTGTGCCACTCATGGCAGGACAAAGTGCTCACTTGCGCCCGCAAACACTGTGCAGTACCCCACTCCCCGAGGCATACTAGCCACCCCGCAAAGCCATGGCTGAACCCAGAGCTCACTAACGCCATCAGAGAAAAACACCGGCTCTACCGTGCCTACTTGCGCACCCGGACGCCCTGCAACTGGAAAGCATACACCACCCAACGCAACAAGGTTACTTACCTTCTCCGAATCGCTAAGTCTACATATGTCAGTAATGGCACTGGGACGAGCCACCCCACACCAAACCTACACAAACTGATGCGCGGCCTCCAGTCCTCACAACGACCTACTCTGCCAGACATGCTCTCCCAGGGCCTTGAAACAACAGCCCAAGAGGTCTCAAAGTTTCTGTCTAACCTGGACCCGTCAAAGAGCTCGGGCTGTGATGGCATACCAACCCGCCTACTGAAAGAGGCAGCCAGATCACTTGCGCCATCCCTAGCAACCCATTTTAACATCTCCTTCGAACGTTGCACTATCCCGCAAGAGTGCAGGGACGCAACAGTCACCCCCATCCACAAGAAGGGCAGCAAAACCGAGCCCTCCAACTATCGACCGATATCGCTACTCAGTGTGACGTCGAAAGTACAAGAGAAGATAGTTGCTGACCGCATCTCGAAGCACATCCAACCTCACCTGCCCAACGGCCAATCAGGCTTTCGGCCAAACGATGGCACCACACAGCAGGTATCTCGGTTAATCCATCAGACCACCGAGAAAAGTGACGCCGGGGAAACAGTAATTGCTTGCTTCTTCGACCTATAGAGTCACCGTATATGCGTACCGTATGGTGTAGCCCGCGCACTAAAAGTAGTAAAAGTGCCGGGATAGCAACACAGGCGCGAAGCTGAGTCGAATGACATGTCACATGACATCAGCATGCATACTGATGTATGCTAAGCATTCATTCGCGCAAGCATATTCGGTGTATAAGCCTCAGGGGCGATTTTGGTCCGATTTTTAGCGAAAAAAAGTGCGGCTTATACCCCGGAAAATACGGTATATAAAATTATAATCAACCTGCGGACAGAACTGGTTCGTCCTTTGTGGACTCATCATAGCAGGACAGAGGAAATGAGATCGAACCTGGTAGCAATGAAAAATAAATTTTCCAAAGCCAGATTTAGACCAGGCCCGAACGTACCTTGCCACAGTTCTCAAACTGACAAGTCGGCATATATATTATATTTAGCATTTCCCACCTCTTCGCCACCTCCGTTTGTTCCGCATATGGTCTATCAGCACAAGATATGTGAATGTGAATATACTCTGCATGATTTCAAGAAGCCATGCAGAACTTCTAGTAGCATGGACCTTGCATTGGCTAATGCCTACCTGGAATGGACCAGATGTAACTGCTGGGACAGTGTTCAAGAGCACTCGTGCGTGGAGCCATTCGTCACCCATGTTTCCGCTTTGCGTGAAGACCTTGACATTTGCAGTGGAAGTCTTCACGTAGACATTCAGCGTACCGATGTTTCGACCGTACATGTGGTACCAGAAAGAGAAGGTACAGACCTTTGTGTGTAATATGGTGTAATGTGGTGAGTAGATAATGGCTTTATCACCAGCCTGGCTTGGTGGAGAGGTCTCGATATACAGGTAGTGACCTAAAAACACGCACACATAGCCGTAGAAGTGGAACATCCCTTGTTGTTCGCCCATAGAAAGAGTGTATACTCATATACGGCAACAACAGGTTCATTCACGAAGCATTGAAAATTCATGAGGCCATTGAAAATAACCGACCGGTTAGACAACAATTGGGTGCAAGTTATGAGTAAACGGCATATCAATTCAACTACAAACTAAGCAGTCAGACCTTGCCACAATCGGATACAAAACTGACAGATTTCTAGCATCTGCCGCAACCCAACATTTAGCTCCAACTAGCCGATCTCCATCTAATGCACATGCAACCGTGATTTGATTTCTTGTAGATCAGATCTGCCAGCCCATCCTATCATGCCAAACAGTTGGACTCATATCGGGCTGACCCTGGCGACACAAATCACTTACCAGACCCACTTGAATGATCTGACAAGGGACCTGTGTTTAGATCTGGTGTTGCTCCTTGTTTCCTCGTCCAGTAAAATTGTTCAATGCGAGTAGCTTGTGTGTAGCCGCTCAGTCCTGTTGTGAAGTCAGCAGTGGATGCTTTGCATGCTGATATACGATAGACAAGTATAGCAAACCCACACACATGTTGCAGTACACAAACACGCGTACACGCCCACGAACACACACCCACACACAATTCGTACACACATGCTCATGGAGGTACGCACAGGAAGAGGGTACAATAATAAATCCTCAGACTCTTCGAAATTTACGTAGTAGTAGTAGTAGTAGTAGTAGTAGTAGTAGTAGTAGTAGTAGTAGTAGTAGTAGTAGTAGTAGTAGTAGTAGTAGTAGTAGTAGTAGTAGTAGTAGTAGTAGTAGTAGTAGTAGTAGTAGTAGTAGTAGTAGTAGTAGTAGTAGTAGTAGTAGTAGTAGTAGTAGTAGTAGTAGTAGTAGTAGTAGTAGTAGTAGTAGTAGTAGTAGTAGTAGTAGTAGTAGTAGTAGTAGTAGTAGTAGTAGTAGTAGTAGTAGTAGTAGTAGTAGTAGTAGTAGTAGTAGTAGTAGTAGTAGTAGTAGTAGTAGTAGTAGTAGTAGTAGTAGTAGTAGTAGTAGTAGTAGTAGTAGTAGTAGTAGTAGTAGTAGTAGTAGTAGTAGTAGTAGTAGTAGTAGTAGTAGTAGTAGTAGTAGTAGTAGTAGTAGTAGTAGTAGTAGTAGTAGTAGTAGTAGTAGTAGTAGTAGTAGTAGTAGTAGTAGTAGTAGTAGTAGTAGTAGTAGTAGTAGTAGTAGTAGTAGTAGTAGTAGTAGTAGTAGTAGTAGTAGTAGTAGTAGTAGTAGTAGTAGTAGTAGTAGTAGTAGTAGTAGTAGTAGTAGTAGTAGTAGTAGTAGTAGTAGTAGTAGTAGTAGTAGTAGTAGTAGTAGTAGTAGTAGTAGTAGTAGTAGTAGTAGTAGTAGTACTCTGGCACTGCAGATTCTGGTGGTGGTGGTGGTGGCGGTGGTGATCCGTGGTCGTCCGGGACGCTGAATGCCGCCGTCAGTACCATCTACGATGAGGTGGTGCATTATAGGAGGAATCTCCTTCTCGTGCCATATGGCAAGTATGGCAAGTCGGGAAAAGAGTTTGTCCTGGAGTTGGCCCGTATTGTCCGTGGATTCGCGGAGGGAGCTGCCTGGCGCCCCATGGCCTGGAAAATGGTCACCGTTGCCTGTCACTTACTGCTCCAGAAGCCTTTGGGCTCTGGCAACGGCAGTGACCTGGCCAAGGTGCTGAGGGAGCGCCTGGTGTTGTGGAGAGCTGGCCTGGTTCAGGAACTCCTCGCAGAGGCCCGCTGCATCCAGGCCCATCTGAAACCCAGGGTTGGAGGTTCGGTAGGGGATGACAGGCGCATGCCCGACACCCAATTTGCCAAGTTGGTCTTTGATGGCAAACTACATTCAGCGGCCCGTGGTCTCTCCGATGAGGCTGGGGGTGGAGTTCTTCGACTGGATGATGTTGTTGACGCCACAGGGGACAGGACGGTCATGGATGTCCTGAGGGAGAAGCACCCTGCGCCTGCTGACCTTGTTCCGGAGTGTGAGGTTGCTGGCGACCCTGTACAGCCTCGTGCAGCTATATTTGCTGGACTTACAGCCGATCGGATCAAGAAGGTCTCCCGAGTTGTTCAGGGTTCCTCTGGGCCATCCGGTGTCGATGCCGATGGGTGGAGACGAATGACGACGTGCTTTGATGCTGCTTCAGACCAACTATGCAGCGCCCTGGCGGCTGCTGGCCGGCTGATCTGTACGGAGCGGACAGCGGATGGTGAGATGGAGGGTTTCACTGCTGCGAGACTGATTCCCCTTGACAAGCGCCCTGGGGTTAGGCCCATTGCCGTGGGTGAAGTATTCCGGCGGATCATCTCACGAGCCATTATGCAGATTGTGGAGACTGACGTTGTCGGTATCACCGTGCCGCATCAGCTGTGTGTGGGCGTACCCTCTGCCTGTGAGGTTGGTGTCCATCACATAACATCACGTTTCGCCCAGGACGATGTGGAGGGCGTATTGCTGGTTGACGCCAGCAATGCCTTTAACAGCGTTAACCGTTCAGCAGCTATTTACAACATCGCCCGTACTTGTCCCGCTATGTCACTGATCGTGGGAAACACCTACCGAGAACCGATCCGGCTTTTCGTGACGGGTGGTGGTGAGGTTCAATCTCGTGAGGGTACATGCCAAGGCGACCCAATTGCCATGGCTATGTATGCACTAGCCATCATGCCGCTTATTCATCGACTGCAGGAGCTTGTCCCAGATGCTGAGCAGTTATGGTATGCTGATGACGATTCCGCACTGGGACGTCTTCGTGCTCTACGCAAGTACTGGCGGAGCATCAGCAACCTGGGTCCGGTGTATGGGTACTTGCCCAACCCCACGAAGACGGTGCTCGTTGTGAAGCCGGAAGTCGAGGTGGAGGCCCGGGATCTTTTCCGGGATACCGGCGTCTCTATTCGGACGGACGGCGCTCGTTGCCTGGGTGGTGCCTTTGGCACAGTCGAGTTCCGTCGTGAGTTTCTGGATCAGCGGGTTCAGGGACTTACAGCCCAGATGAATCGCTGTGGAGAGTACGCCACTACCCAGCCTCATGCCAGCTACGCCGTTGCCGTAAGATCCCTGGTGCCAAGGTGGAAATTTCTATCACGGGCCATGGAGTGCGGTCCGGGGGTGTTGGCACCCATTGACAGCAGTGTGACTGACAAGTTGTTACCTGCTGTCACCGGCCATCACTTCTCGGACGACTCCCCGCTGCGGCGTTTGCTGTCTCTGCCCTGTCGACGTGGTGGAATTGGGTTGCCAATCGCCTCGGTTGTTGCAGAGCATGAGCACCAGCGTGCCCTGCGTGCGACTGAGCCCATGCGGGATCTACTCCATCGCTCTCGCACTGAGCCTCAGAATATTGGAGCATCTCGAGATCCTCGGCCTGGGGATGACCATCCCATCCTCGCTGCCCTTGCCCTCGCACGGACTCGTGCTGTTGCCATGCGGCGGGAGAGGGACCGCCAGGCATCGGATCTGGCTGCTGCCGTTTCTCGTGAGCTATCGCCCCCGCAGCAGTTGTTAATCGAGATTGCGGGTGAGCCCGGCATATCGTCATGGCTGACGGCGGACCCGATGTCCCGGTACGGCACCGTGCTGAATTGTAATGACTTCAGAGACGCCCTCTGTATCCGTTACGACCTGGATCTCAGGGACACCGCGGCAACCTGTGTGTGTGGTCAGCCTGCCGTGCGGGACCACATGTTTGTATGCCCGACCGGCGGCTATCCTGGTGCGCGGCACGACAACATCCGTGATCTGCTCGCGGAGGTGTTGGTTGATGTCGCCCAGGACGTTGAAAAGGAGCCTAGGCTGGCGGCCATGCATGGGGAGGATCTACCCGGACGCCAGCTGAATCGCCAGGACGAGGCCCGAGCGGACATCCGAGCCAGGGGCTTCTGGACAAGGCAGCAGGACGCCTATTTTGATGTTAGGGTAACCCACCCTAAGGCGTCTGTGCTGTCTCGTTCAGAAGTCCTTGGCCAGCTCAGGTCTCACGAGCGGCGTAAGAAGGCCGAGTATGGGCCACGGATCGTCAACATCGAGCGTGCGTCATTTACGCCGCTTGTGTTTACGACGCAGGGCCTGGCGGCACCGGAGTGCGCGAAATTTCTATCGACGTTGGCGACATACCTGTCCAGGCGTCACACCGATATCCCGTACTCCATCCTCATCAACCGGTTGCGGGTACGCATCTCATTTTGCTTACTTCGGTGGGCCGTCACCTGTTTCCGCGGGTGCCGGGCCTCGTATCAGCGGCGTCGCCAGTCGTCTTTCCTGGTGGAGTGCCGGCAGATGGGTGGCCGATGAGCTGTTGCCATGGCAAGGGGGCTGCTGAGACGCCGGCTTGGCACGGGTGGACTCGCTGCCGATGGTACGGTGTAGGATGTATGTACAATGTAGGTACTTCACTCTGTTGTCATTTGTCTGTCTATTTGTTGAATTGGATAGGTGTACGGACAGTTCTCCACAATGCATGCACATCCATTCATAACATTCATGACAGGTAATTTATATTGACATTGGCTTAGACTTGCATACATGACGGGACCTGTTACTTTAATTTTCACTTTGAGTTTAAAGTTTTCTTCTTTTGACATTGGATTTGACATTGGATCTGACATTGGATTTACTAATTGATTTGACGTTATTTAAAGGATTTTTTTTTTTTTTTTAATTGAATTGATCTTCAATGATTTACGATTTCACGTTTCCGCTATTTTGCCCGTAAAAGAGGCTTGTCACCAGTAGTAGTAGTAGTAGTAGTAGTAGTAGTAGTAGTAGTAGTAGTAGTAGTAGTAGTAGTAGTAGTAGTAGTAGTAGTAGTAGTAGTAGTAGTAGTAGTAGTAGTAGTAGTAGTAGTAGTAGTAGTAGTAGTAGTAGTAGTAGTAGTAGTAGTAGTAGTAGTAGTAGTAGTAGTAGTAGTAGTAGTAGTAGTAGTAGTAGTAGTAGTAGTAGTAGTAGTAGTAGTAGTAGTAGTAGTAGTAGTAGTAGTAGTAGTAGTAGTAGTAGTAGTAGTAGTAGTAGTAGTAGTAGTAGTAGTAGTAGTAGTAGTAGTAGTAGTAGTAGTAGTAGTAGTAGTAGTAGTAGTAGTAGTAGTAGTAGTAGTAGTAGTAGTAGTAGTAGTAGTAGTAGTAGTAGTAGTAGTAGTAGTAGTAGTAGTAGTAGTAGTAGTAGTAGTAGTAGTAGTAGTAGTAGTAGTAGTAGTAGTAGTAGTAGTAGTAGTAGTAGTAGTAGTAGTAGTAGTAGTAGTAGTAGTAGTAGTAGTAGTCTCTCAGGGACACCGCGGCAACCTGTGTGTGTGGTCAGCCTGCCGTGCGGGATCACATGTTTGTATGCCCGACCGGCGGCTATCCTGGTGCGCGTCACGACAACATCCGTGATCTGCTCGCGGAGGTGTTGGTTGATGTCGCCCAGGACGTTGAAAAGGAGCCTAGGCTGGCGGCCATGCATGGGGAGGATCTACCCGGACGCCAGCTGAATCGCCAGGACGAGGCCCGAGCGGACATCCGAGCCAGGGGCTTCTGGACAAG